CAGGATCCACAAATAGTAACTTTTAGTACTGGCACTAATTCTGTCAATCAAAATTCTTCTCAGAAATGCCATTAATTAAACTTTCCTGAAAAGGACACAGCTCAGAATTTTCCCTTCAAACACCCATCCCACTAGTGTGTTCCCATTCAATAGCTGAAGACAACACAGAGGAGGAGAAAATCAGAGCTTTCACAAGAGACCTTTTTGTTGATTCAATTTTTTTATCTTCCTTACTCTGTTTCTTTTGAATAGATTCTTTTATTTGAAATGTTGAATGATGCTAGCAGCTGTCAAAATATGCTTTAAAGCAGGCAGTTTCCATTTACTGTCTGTTGGAAGAGACTATTTTCTGAATTATTATGCAGTATTTTTTATGGATTATTAATATTTTGGATTAGAGCTCTAAGCTTTCTGGAACCCTTTTCTGAAAGGGACAGGGAAATTTGCAAGGAATTTGGGACTTTTTATTAGCAGTAAAGAGTTTCCCTCAGAGGCACGTTCTGTAGCAGACTGCCAGTGATGTAGGGGAGCTTTAGCTCAATTTCCAGATTAAAAACAGGGCTRTCACAAGCTTTGGCTTTTAAATTTGAAAAGGTTTGTTCTTCCAGACACACAATTTGAGAGGGAGATACCTTCCTTCAGTTGTCTTTTCCTGGATGTGCGTGTCGCTCCTCTGTTGGCGAGAGGTTTACGTGAGGACAAAGGGCTCATTTGGAACAGGCCTGGCCTGTTCTTGCTGTCCCTTGATGTCCATGTGAGAACAACAGATCCTGCATGAGGCAACTGCAAAGCACAACCCTCTGTTTATTCCTGTGGTCAGTAACTGCTGATCAAAGCAGGAAGAGATGAGGAGTCTGGTTTTCTGCTAATGTGAATGCCACTGCTGTGCAGTTAGCAAATGGTTTCTGCTTAGTAGCACAAATGCGGCCAAAGAAGGAAGCAAGTGCTATATTTGCATGGCTGAGGATGGTGTTCCAGCCCACATCTGCTCAGATGCACGCTTACTTTGCTTATTTKTCAGCCTCTACTTTCAGGAATAACCACACAATCTGCAATCTGCTTTCACTCAGAAGGAGCTGTGTCTAGCCCTCTTTTTGGTTGTGTTTAACCTCAGGAAGCACTTTGCTTCCTTTCCTGTTTTATGCCAGGATGTGCAGAATAAAAGCCTGCACATTGGGCAGTCACTGGACCTGAAACAGGTTAACTTTTGCTGAGACATCATCATTGTGCTTGCAAGAGGAGTGATTTTCCTCCAAAATATTAGGGTGTTCTGCTGCTCAATTCAGCATAGGGATAACGGGCATTTTAAGATGGTGGAGGGGAAATCTGTCATTTAGCAGTGTGGCAGAAGGGAAGATGTTTCTCCATCACAAACTTTTCCCCCAGGAGATGGCTGCAGCCCTCTGGGAGGCAGAGCTCAGGTAGAGCRAACTGTCTGTGTTCAGCAGAGCATGTAAATGTGCATTTAGCCTGAAGCCTGTGGGATCTGACTCTGGTTTTTAAATCTAACTTGAGTCTATTGCTGCATGAGGCGTTTTTATTTACTTTGCATGCTGATGTTTTGTACTGAAAAGCTGCTGAAAAGGTGTCAACACACCTCTCCTCTGGGTCATGCTAGAAAACAAATTCCTTGGGYACCTGCTTTGGGAATCCTAGTGACAGATGAATTTGAGGCCTCCTGTCCCCTCTTCTGTTGGCAACACTTGTTTGCCAAATACTGTATTGAAAAGCCTTCTTCGTGCTCACAGCACAGCCAAGGGCAAGTTTTAAATATTGCCTTTATACTCTCTCCCTAAGTGAATAAACTACGTGACAACACCAACAACATTCACGTCAATATGAGAAAAGTAGTTCTGAAGAAGTGGGTATTCAATGAAATACTTTGTGTAGACCATTTTTTTAAAAAAAATAGGTGGTTTCCTGCTCTCATTTTCATGACTTGAGAAAAAAAAATAGCCAGTATTGAAATCTAAGGATTAACTTCCTAACTAGTACTGGAATGAGATTCAAGCTTAACAGCCACTCTATGGCTGTCACACACTGTCACTTTGTGATTGTGGGAGGGGGCAAGGATGACAATTAAAAACAACCAAACCAGAGTCTTCTCAATGGTTCCCAGTGAAAGGACAGGAGGAAAAGGACAGAAAGTGAAATTTAAAAAAATTCCTTTAAAATGTAGGGAAGAGCTTTATTAGGGTAAGTGATCAACACTGGAACAGATTTCCCAGGGAGGCTGTRRAGCCTCCATCCTTAGAAACAGTCAAAACCTCAACTGGACATGGTGCTGGGACAGCCTGCYTTGAGCAGGGAATAGGACTAGATGRTGTCCAGAGATGTTCTCTAAMCTSAACTATTCAGAGCTTTCACAAGAGACTTCTTCACTGTTTCAAATTTTTTTAGCTYCCTTRTTCTGTTTCCCTTGAGCAGATTCTSTGATTCTGTGAAATATTTGCTATTTATAAAGACTGGAGGGTGAGTTTTTCATCTAAAAGGTTGCTTACCCAGAACCCAGGTAGGTAAACTGGGTTACCTCCTTCATCACAAAGAACCCTCAAGTGCACTTTCCAACTCTCTCTTACTGATGAAATTTCATTTTCCTAAGGATGTAATTGGGGCTGAAACCCAGGTGTGCTATTTTCAGGACAGCTTTTAACCCATCTTGCTGTCAGGGTTGGGATTGCTCCGTTGGACACTTTGTGCACACCAGAGCTAACTGTGYATCAGGTGACTGAGGATTCTGTCACGGGATTTGGTTCAGTGTCAGCGGCTGCTGAACCTCATGGAAAAGAGCTGCCATGGAGATCAGTAAATATATAGATTCCACCTTTGACTCAGGCATTCTGGAAGTCACAAGTATTTGTGACTCTACACTGTACTGCTGTAGGGTATTTGTGGGAAGCATCRTTATACACTTTCCCTGCTCTTGTATTCTACTCTAAACATCAACTGCTGAATGACCTTGGATGCGATTTGATTCCCCCAATTTCCACAATCATGGCAGTACCAGCTGAAGCTGCAAAGTACATTCGATCAAGCATTTTTAAGAACTTCCGATAGAAGCATTTCTGTTGCTAAAATTGTATTTAATGGGTACTGTCCTGTGTTATCTGGGAATCTAGTGCCCATGTTAGCTGGAAATGGAGGGCTTGAATGTGCAGTGCTGGGTGTGTGCCAAGGTCTGCAATGCTCTTAATGCCATTGCACAAATAGAGCAGAACGTGAACCCAGACTTTGTGGTCARGGGAATTCAAAGGGCTGAAGAATCAGTAAAAATTGAGCCAATTTTACCACCAAAGGTTACAGTCCAAAATGTGTCCAAACCTGAGGGATGTTTCTCAGATTGGAGAGTTTAAACTTCTGAGGTCTGTTTTTTGACCTGGGCCTGGACTTCCTTCATGCTTAAGCTGCATGAGAAATACCTGTTTGTTAAATTGTTCATAGCCCTTCAAAGTAAGCTCACAATGGAATTGTGGTGAGGTAGGAGCACTTTTGGAAGGCAAGCACTGTGAGAGAATATTTCAGTTATTTTATAGATATAAGAAATTATGTTGAACTTGATAAAGATAAATGTTGATTTAGAACAGAGTAAATACAAGGAGAACAGCAGACAGACCTTCATGACTGTGGGAAAGAAAATGAAGATATTTTTGAGGGTTGTCTCTGTTTTAAAAATCTGGAAGAGACTGAAAGAGAATAAATGGTCTGAAGCAGAAAAGGACTTTTGGACCCAGGGTCCTCCAAAAGCATGATCTGAATGTCTTGAAGTAATTCCTGCTAGGAGTCAAGTGGGGCACACCAAACGATAGAAATGGGCAGAGTAACCTTCTCAAATTAGTGAAAAGTTGGAATTAATTCAGTGACCTGGAAGGGCCTTGTTATTCATGAGCTGGAGCTCTGATAGAGCCTGGTCTGCTCTTGCTGTAAGCAGGTGAAACCAGGGAGAGGAAGAAGATTTAAAGCTCTTGCTGTTTCTTTTCAAACTTTTTCTTTTCAGGGATGTCTTCTTACATGGTTCTTTATTCTTATGTGATAAATGCATAGTAATGCTCAGCATCAAATGAGGGTTGAGATCTGTTGAATGTAATACTGAAACTCCTACATTTAATCAAATTAGAGGCTTTGGCCACCCCAATATTTGCAGTAATGTAAATCAGTGATAGGCATCTTAAAACCTAGAGACCAGACTGTAAAGTTTTTTTAAAGTTTTTTGAAATTGCAGAGTAGTCATTTGCATCAAGTCCTCAAAAGTCTGAGTTTCCAGTGAACAGCCAGAAATGAATGCAAGTACCAACCTCATGCTATTATCTTAAAATAACTGAAAATAGGTTGATAAACTCATGGTGTTAGGTCAAGGCTTTTTTTAAAKATCTCAAAGGTATTTTCCAACCTAATTCTGTGATTCTGTGTGGTTCTGTGATTCTTTATGAAGAACTAAGGTTTTTTTCCTCTTTTACGTTTACTTACGAGCAGTCAATTCAGTTTGCCCATAGAAATTATTATGATAGACTCTTCCCTCAGTTTTAGTACTGATTTTAGGTTTTATTAAACTGAATAGTTTCACATAATCTACAGACTTTCATCCTACATTTTATCTGCTTTTGCACAGTACTTTKGTGAATATGTTTTATACTGCAGGGAATATCCTGTATCCTTGGGGCAGTGCTGGAACTTGGCTCTGCTGTGAAAATTCACTGCTGGTCAGACAGTATGTTTCATCTTGTTCTAAGAGCAAGGGTCTGTACCAGCTGCACTTCTTAAACATGTTTTAGTGACTGACTTGGTTGAGAGATTTTGGGAAATTAGAATCTCCTTTTTCAAATTCTAATTTCCAGAGCTTTTGATAGTGGCTTTTTTTGGTGTATTGCAAACTCTTAGTTTTATCTCATACTTAAAAAAAATCTTTCTAGGAGTGTTGTTAAAGAAGACTTAAGCGAAGAATGCACAGTAATTATGCCTTTGCTAATAAGATTCTTATTTTTCTGCTTTTTTTTTTTTTGCAGAGATCACCTTGGTTTTTCTGGAGTTGTCATTTTGATTCATCAGTCAGCTGGTTGTTACTGAAACCTCAGAATATTTCCTCTAATTGCTTTCCTGTGAGTATGATCAAAGAAATTACCTCAGACTTCCTGTCCTGTGGTATTCAGAAGTTGTGGGGTTTCCTTGAATCTTTTTTTTTTTTCTTGTGTGTTTGCTTATTGTTTTGGAAGCTGATCCAAATTCCTCTGAAAATCAGTGGAGAGGCCTGCAGACCCTTGGCTCCTGTCCCTTTGGTGTCATTGACACCAGTGATTACTTTGTTCAGAACTGATAGCAGATTCAAAGCATTTCAACTCAAAATCTCTGTGATTTACACTAATCATTTTATTGGTATATAGCATTAYTTAAAAAGTTGTGTTTCTCCACTGGATTTTTGCAAGTTTTTTCTTGCAGTGGGAGCCTTAAACCATATTTACTTGACTTATGATCATATGCTAGTGTGTTRCTATCCTGCTGTGTCTTCTCTTTAGAGCAAGCAGGCTCTGAGAAGTATGTGAGAGTCCAAGTAACTGTGTTTACTGACTATTTACAACATGGAAGAGTTAGAAATTTTTTTTTTTTACAAACATAGTTCTTTCACTGCCAGAACAAGTGAGGGCTCCCAAACCATTTAAAGGAAGTGTTTATAATGTGTGTAAACTTCAGCCCTTCAATATACGGAAATTCCAGACTGGAGACAAACTGTGGAGTGGCTCAAAGTTTAAGCAGCGCCTGTGACAGCAGAATGATGGCTCAGAAATACTGCCCCAGCATCCAGTCAGCTCCCTTAAACACCATCATCCTCAGTTTGGGGTACAATGAGCTGCTTGTCACTGGTGAGGGACCMTGTCCTCTGTGTGCCTGGGCCTCCTCTGTACCTCTACCCCTCTTTTTGGCAAAAGCAGTGTGGAGGAGGCGACACAGCAGCAGGCTGGACACTGGGTGCCTTTCATCTCCAGCAGCCTTCCCTYCCTGTCAGGATTGCTGGGTCTGGGCCATTTCAGGCTTTTGTCATCATCCTTGGGGAAGCAAATTCAACTTCTGAGAAGGTTTGTGCAAGTGCTGRATGGGCTGATAATCGTTGCAGGCTGTTCTCTGCCCTGGGTGTTGTTTTGCAGTTCTGCATTACTGCTGAGCCTTTTTTGGGGGGAGCATTTAAAACTGAAGCCAGAGGCAATCTGGTGTTTCCAGTTGTAGGAAACGCTGACAATTCAAAATCAGGGTTTCTTTTTGATTCAGAACCAGCCTAAATGTTCTAAAAATTTCCCRTGGAACACTTCTTCCCATGAAATGCCTGACTTGAAATTCCCACATGCTTYCATGAGTAGTGCATTTATGAGGTATTAAAATTACTTAAAAATATCAATCCAGGACATACTATCCAAGAGCAAGTGGGGTCAGAAATGTGTAGTCCTCTTCCCTTGTGCTGTGGATAAGCTATTCAAAGAGGGCAGTGACTGCCCTCCAGGGTTTTTCTGATACCTCAATGGTTGGAGTTGTATTTGTAGAAACATCTGAGCACACAGACTGTGGTGTTGAAAGAAGGCACTTCAGTGCCTCAAAACAGAGGCTGACTTGGGACTGGTTCCTTATTTTGGTTCATAAATTGCATCTGAAAATCCATACTCCAGGATCTCATTTGTCTTCTCCAAGTATAGGATGCAGGGTAAGTGCCACCTGTTTTACACTGAAGTCCCTCTGGTGCTTGCACAGCACTTGTCAAGGCAACAAAAGATTTCTGTCACAAAGAAGTAAAGGCAAAATCTGATCATATTTTCCTCACTTAACCTCTGCTTTCACATGGTAAAGCTGGATGAACAGAARCATGGGTTTTAGGGGATGAGAATGAAAATAACATGGAATAGGCCATTAGTTGCCTTGAGAAAATYGTTAAAGCAAATAATGTGGGCCAATACACTCATTTGGAAAGGAAAAAAACCCACCATTATCTCTGTACTGGAAAGAAGGTACATCTCTTTATCTGAGTATAAAAGGCAGTAAATAGTTTAGTATAATCATGATAGTCCAATAAGTCTTCTGTTAATTCCTGAATGCCTTGTCAAACCTGAGTTTTGAAAGCAATCTGACATGCCTATATGAATTACTTTCATAAATAAGTGCTAGCCTCAAAGGTTAAGGTTCAAAGTCACTGGCTAGTGATGATTGTTTTTTATTTTCCCTTGGAAATGTTTGTTTTGTTRAAAGATGTTTGCCATTAGGAAATATTGTGTAAGAATGGGTTTGGTCAGCTTTTCTCCTAAATAATCAAGCCTGAAAACATTTCTGTAGTGTCTCTGAAGACATTTCTGGCTTTACTGTGATGAGGTCAACTGAGAYGAACATAGGGTCTTCCTTCTCTCATCCACCCTATTTGCTTCTTGGAAAAGGAGGGGCAGCACTCACTCTTGCCTGAGTTTCCCTGTAGCTTCTTGGACCTCAAGTGACCTCTGTGTAGAGCTGGGGCACTTTTTGGGGAAAGCCCTTTTGTGAGAGATGAGAACCTGGTGGGTTTTGTATTGAATTGGGCTGTTGAAAATGTGTTACTGTTTGGAGGAGGCTGTAACAAAGCCAGAGCATCATTTAGATGTAGGAAGTTATTCTCCATTTAAAGGTGAACCCAAACAAGTAAACCTACTGTGACTCATCCCAGCTTTTAGATGAAGAGAAATTTTTATTTATCAGAAATTACAACGCCTAGGAATTGTAAAATGGACACACTGAATAGCTGAAGAAAAATCTGCTTGTGATAAACCATGTCTTGTTAGACAGAGGTTTAAGTACATTTGAAAAAAAATTCTCAACAAACAGAAAAATCATGTGTAAGGGCAGAATCACTGCTGTGCTCAGAGTGATGGGAGTRGAGTTGATTATTTGCATCTTCCCAGTAGGTAGAGAGCAGATAGAGCTCACTGGAGAGGATGGGGCTGCACTTTGGCTCCATTCACTGTCAGGGAGTTCATCAGAGAGCAGTGCCAAGCACAGCTTGGGCACAGCAGAAGCTGAGTCTTTGTCCTCTGTGCAATATTACCCTTCTAAGTCAGGAAGTGCATGTGCTGCAGGAAAGATAGGCCAGGGAGCTGGGATTCTTCAGTCTTCATCARCTCTTTCTCAGCTCCATCACAATAAGCTCTCCTGGCGCTTTAAAATTGCATTTCTGATTCTGCTGGTTGGAACTTTCCAGGGCCATTRTTCCCTTGGTGTATGTAACTTTACAGAGCAGACCGATCTCTTTCTGATAAATGGGGCCAATTATTCAGAACCCTGATGATAATTATACTGTGCAGCATTGCAAAAGAGACAAGATTTTCCTTGCATACATTTTGATGATGCTTTCAGATTGTGGAATGAARGAGCCTTGGCCAAGGACTTCTACATAAGTGAGAAGTGAGAAGTAGCTGAAGCGTCAAAAGAGTATCTTGTCTCCAGCTGGTGTTGTGGTGGGGCAGCCTCAGAGGCACACCAGCATTATTGGATGTTGATATGAACTGAGTTTGAACTCCCAATCTCTGGAAGTTCCCCATGCCTCTTTTCCAAAAAGAGCCTGATTTTTGCAACTTGCTTTCATGTGAGAGCTGTGGGTTTGGAACTGTTAAGTTGTTGCAGGGACTGGGGTATGGATCACATAGACACCAAGATGATGAGCAATATCACTTTATTTCTAATACAAGCTCTTTTTATCTGTTTCATAAACCAAGCCTTCTACATCAATGACAATTGTTTATTGGCTAATTTAGCAGTCTGTTCATTACTTGYCAGCAGATAATTGGTATATTTGCAAAAGTGTGTTCTATTTGCCTTGCAGCTTTCATTCACCATTTTCAGCATTTTGCACCTGCTTCAATCGTTCTTTGCTCCTCAACTGCTCTTTGTTCTTCAATTGCTCTTGTTCCTTTACTATGTTTYTCCTTCATGGTCAGTACATGCTCCACTGCTGTAGTCACGTCCTTCCCTTTCCCATCCTCTTCTATCCCATCTTCTATCTCATAGTCTGGGTTGCTCAGTAACAGCAAGTCATGGCCTCGTTCCCACAGGAATCTGTCTAATAGAGATCCTTCTACACATCCCCTTCTTTCTTTGTGAGCAGCCCAGCTCTGTAATGCAGTCTTTTCTGTAAAACAGTAAAAGCAGCAAGCAGCTCGCTGTCACTGTAACAGCAAGCAAGGTTAATACAGATCATAATCCCTTTAACAGTRAAGTTTTCAACCAGCCTGTAATTCCCCATTTGTTTAGCCAGGTRGAGAGAGAGTCGGTGTTGACTGTAATTAAATGCTGATTGGCTTGTAACTGAGCAAGCTTTTTCTGRATGGGAGTGATCAGAAAGGTTAAAACAGCACATTCCTTCAAAATCTTCACACCTATGACCTTGCGCTAATAAAAGGAAATCAATGGCTGCCCTATTTTGCAAAGTAGCATRTCTAATACTATCAACATCAGTCATGAGGTCACTGATTATTTCTGAAGTCAAACTTTTGGAAATCGGTTCTGTGCATATGAACCTTCATAGCAGTATCGCTCCGCCAGGGATCATAATTGATGATTTGTATTTAAAAAAAAAAGGTTAAACAGTTGCTCACTAATAGTTTTAGTTAGTTTCATCTTATCGCTATGACAAGAAGACTTCATATTTCAATTTAAATGAGCATATTCAAACAGAACTTAAACTTAATAGGACGTAACCTTAACATCACTTAAACTTAACAGAATGTAAATTTAGCTTTGCTAAAATTTAACAGCAATTAAATCTAATAGCACTTAAAATACTTAAAAGAGCTTAACCTTAACAAAACTCCTTATTAACAAAACTTAAACATAGCATTACTTAAAGGTAACAGAATTTAACTATAATAGAACTTCAATCTTAACAGCGCTTATAAGTAACCGAACTTAAAATTAATAAATGCTAAGCTGAGCAACACGTAAAGTTAACAGATCTGAAAATCTACAGGATTTAAACTTAACATTACTTACATTTGAGAAAACTTAACTTTAATAGCACTTAACACTTAATGGCACTTAATAGATAAGCTAACTTAACATACCTAGCMATTGATTTATACAGAATTTACTATAACACAGT